GGAAAGGCAACCTTTTGTCGAACGTTCTGGTAGGTTGGTGATCCTGATAGCGAAGCTTGGTCGGCGTGGCTTTCTCAAGCATTCAGCCCGAAAGCAACGGTCGAGGCACTTTCCGACAGCGGCGGTTCAAGGTGCGCTGGTGTTGACAGCAAGTTGGTGGTAAGCGTGGACAAAATGATCAAGTCTGCTGGAGATCAGGCGAGTGAAGTCGCCCTTGAGGTTCAAGGTCGGAAGGGCATCAAAGGAAGACACATAATATTCACGGTTCTGGAGAGCTTTCGTACGTACGACAGACTCGATCTTGTTTTCGGAGTGGAACACTTGCACTAGTTGACCTATCCCGGTGACAAGAAGATGGGAGATTTCAAGCAGCGGTGGCTTGAGCCACAAGAGGAGGAGTTGAGAGACACGCTGTATCGAAAGCTGAACGGAAATTCAAAGGAGCTGGAATTGGACTTGAAACTGTACGAACACATGGAGCGTAGTGGTCCCGCGAAAACGCATAAGTATTTGCTCAACATGATTGATCGGCGGGTGAAAGCAACCAGGGAAGAAAAGAATTGGGAAAACAAGGAGAAGTCGCTCAAGATTTTCAAATTGGGCAACGCGCTTCCCTCTCCCAAAGAAAAGGTAAAGTTCAATCCGAAGGCGAAGTCGGAGGCAAAGGATGCCCAAAATTCGGCACCTGTTCTTCCTGACACGAAGACCATGGGGGAGGTCACCTTCCAAAACCCGAGATCCTTCCCCTGGTGGTAACAAGAATGTTCCATGCCAACTTCATTTCTTTTGTGGGAAGCGCATGAAAGGATCCAATTACAAATGCAGCCATCAGAAGGGTGCTTACACTGCAGAATGGAAGAAGAAGTTCGAAGAGGGTCCCAAGCGCCCCAGCCAGGGAGCGTCCCAAGAACGATGGAATTTGTTCATTCTGGAAGAAAGGGACATGCAAGAAAGGGAAAGATTGCAAGTTCAAGCATCCGGCGCCGGCGGAGAAATCCAAGAAGAAGAAAAAGAAGAAGAAGGCGAAGGCTGCCCAGGTGATGTCCACGGGTTCCTTGTGGGAGGATTCTCAGAGTGAAGCTGAGTCGACCTTCAGCGAAGAGGAAATTGTGGATGGAGATGCTGAGGCCGAATGCGCTCCCGCGACCCCGAGAGCCAAGCAATATCACTCCAAGAAGGAAGAAGACAAAGAGCGTGGTTTTCCGGGATTGGGTTGAGTACGATGATGGTGATGTTAGCAATCAAGAGTTTCCTGAGAGACATCGCAGAGAAGATCATGGAAAGAAGGGGGTAAGCACTGAGTTCTGGCAGCCATCAGGGCCGCAAAAGTTGGTGAAACATGGGAAAACCATGTCCGTGATTTACAGACTTCCATCATCAAGGTACCCTTCCAGCAAATACAAATGGAGGTTGTTCTCATAGGGGAGAACTATGAGAAGATCGACTATGTGGATAGAGCTCGGAAGATGTCCCTGTTCTCGGCGATTTCGCATCCAAGAGAAAAACCCAACACGCAATCGCCCAAAAGGATGAAATGGCTCATGGACACCGGATGCAGCCACGACTTGATCGGGTTGAAGGCGGATAAGCTAGGTCTTAGTCCGAGGATGAGTTCAGAGGCGATGACCTTTATGACGGCGAACGGTATCACCGAAACCGATCAAAAGGTTGACCTTGTCATAGACGAAACGAAGGACACGATTTCGCCTTTCGTGGTGGAAGAATGTGCTGACAGCGGGTATGGTTTTCTGTGGATGCCTGGCGAAGAACCTGTCATGTTCGATGATCGCATGTCTGTCATACGCCTTCGTGTCAAGGATCACACTCCTTACCTGGTAACCCAATGATGAAACGGAGCACGCGCTTTGGGGAAACTCACAGAGTCAGCTCTTGGTATCTTGGATATCCCGAGGATCATGTGGTGGATCCGTCTGGACGATTGACTTCATCGCCGGACGAAACACCAATTGCGGTGCCGGCAGAGGAGCCCGGCGAGGTAGAGGAGGGTGATACGGATGAAAGGGACGAAGGTGGCGAAGATGAACACGAGGTCGATGTCGAAGCTGCAAGGGGCGTGAAGAGGACGTTGGAACACATGGTTACCCACAGGTTCGCAAACCCTTATTGTGATGCGTGTGTCCGAGCAAAGACGTGGGGGGGCCTTGTGACGTTCGATTTCCTAACACCAGAAAGAGTAGGACAACTGGGAAACGAGACTGACACCAATGTCTTCGTTGTGCGCGACGTATATTCTGGGGTGAGGATGGCGTATCCCATTTCGGGGTTCCACGGATGAGGTTGTCAGATGTTTGAAGGAGTTCGTGTTGCTTATGGAGATCACGCACCTCAGTTTGTCAGTGCATGTCAGCAGCTGGGGATAGCGTTTGATCACTCGCTGCCCAACCGACCCATGAACAACTTCAGCACTTGTTTGTTGGCTGCGACCTGGTACCATATGCGTGGTGATCATGAGTATACCAGTCGGTCAAACCCTCTTCCCACAAGAGATGACACGCACAAGTTTGCGCCCAAGTCAATTCGCGGGTTATGAACTGGAAAGTGGAGTGAGGTGGAGGCATTGCAGGAGGTGTTGACGACGATGGGAACGGCGATGACGATGATCCCGGAAAAGGTGATTCGCACGTCGGCGGAGGGAGTGCCAAGGACAGGTCGAAAGCGATTAAGGAAAGGTTCGGTATTGATGATGCGGTTGGAGATGTTGATTCAGCCGTCGAACCGGACAAGAAGACCCTGATCGTAAAGGAACGGCGCACAAAGGGGCAAAGGGTGACATCCCAATGCCCGCTGGCCTCGAACCGGGCTACCATAGGTGGAGTCGGAGGGACGAAAGGGCAATTGTGTTCCCACGGACGCCAAAGGGGGCCCAAATAAAAAGATGTTGTAGCACGACTGTCAACAGCGAGACGGCTGAAGTGCTTGATTGCATCAGTATCGATCCGAAGAAGGGGGAAGACTTCCAAAGGACGGTGATCAAGGCTTGTGCTGAGGTCTTGATCGACACGTATTCGCTGACGCGGAGCCTCCCAAAACGCGAACACGTCAGCAAAGGGAAAGCTAGCGATGGGATTATATATGCTGATGATAAGGGGGGGAGGGTGAAGCTAGATGTTAAAGGAACTCCCTACAAGGTTGGGATTGCTGAGCGAAGGGCCTGCAAGATTTCTGGGCCTCCCGATGTGTCCAGAGGAGTGGAAGAAGATGTCTCATGTCGATACAATGATGTGGGAACACGCAGCCACCGAAGCTGAAAAGGATATCAAAGAGGGACTGGAAAAGAGCCTCAAGAAGGCCGAAAAGGAAGCTGAAAAGTTAAAGGGCAAAGCCAAGAAGTCGAAAGATGGCAAGGATGCTGCGGCGGCGAAGGAGAGCGCCAAAGACGCTAAGAAGTTGCGTAGAACAGTCCTGAAGAGCGTTCAGAAAATCGACAGTGCCAATGATAGAAACATCCGTTATGGCCACCCTTGACGCAGGGACATTCTGGGAAGCATTGCCACAAAGGGGTAACGGCAGTGGGTTTTGAGCCTGTGGGGGTGGAATGGCCATCCGTCTACGACTTCAAGAGGGAATCTGAAGAAGGGATGGAATCTCCTTCGCGCCAAGCTTGAGATCGAACCTGGAACGGGTCTCGGTTTATACTTGGGTTGCAATCAGGTCAAAGGAACTGCTAAGTTCGGTGGTGTCCAAGTCAACACAGTAACCTATGATATGGAAGAATTCCTTGAGATGTCTGTTCAGAAGTACAGGGATATCATCATCGGGAACCATGTCAAATTGAAAGATGCCAAGACTCCGTCGCTTCTGGAGGGGACGGATGAGACGGATGCGCAGCCGCTCGTTCAAGGGGAACCTGCGCCCCTCATGCAGCTAGTGTGCTCATGAAATTGCTATACGCGGCGCGTCATGTCACCAAATGGAGCAATCAGGACGACAAGCGACTGCATCATTTGGTGTGTTACGTCAATTGCTCCAAAAGAAAGAAGTTGGTCGGGTGGGTTAGCCTAGCGATCCATTAGACCAGGTTCAGGTGGCCATGTACGCAGACGCGGATTTCTTCGTTCCACTTCGGGCTGTCAAGTGAACTTGCATGGCAAGAACACTCGCTTTCCGTTGGTGGGAAATAGCAAGCGACAATCTTGCTTTCTCGCACGCTTTCGTTCTTTCTTCATGTTACACGCTTTCTTTTTGCATCCGCCGTCTGACCTTCCAAAGCTATCTGCAACAGCTATCTTTTCGCACGCGCTATCTTATCTTCTGGTTCTACCTATGTACACAAGCTACCTTTCAATTAGCTTCTCTATTACGGAAGTTCCTTCTAAACTTCCTTTGCTAATAGTGGCATCCAACCAAGAACCTTGAGCAGATTGTTGACATCTGCTCCTCGCAGCATTGATCTTCAACACCACACGCCAGTTCTACAAGTGAATGACAATGGCGCTAATAGCAGTCATTCTGCTTGTCCGGTGAGCGCTGTGACAAATTGGCAGAAGTAGGTCATAGCAGGTCATAGCAGGTCTTTCAAAAGACAAACAGTCTAGGCGAATAAACACGATGCGAAGCGTTTGGTCAGTTGGTCAATAATTGCTCACTCGCCAATGTTTTGACAGCTTGCTCACCTTCTCCTTTATTCCTGGAAGGTCAGGGCAAAGAGTGCCACCCATGAGGTCCTCTTTTGCCTCTGGTTGACGCTATGCCACCAGCCCAGCGCATCTTGCCTGTTCAGGCCAATCAAGGGATCTCACGCGATCTAGCTGTTTGGTTTCGGACTCAAGTTAATGTCAGAAGGCGCTTGCCTTGGCAATGCGCAAGGCCGCAAGGTAGCAAGCCCTGCCATGAATACAGCAGAGGGTTCATTCAGTCCGTGAAAGTATTGCTTGCGTCGGGTTCGTGTGTGTGTGTGTGTTTGCACGTGGGCCTATCTACATGATCGAGGGTTTGGCTCCGTGAATTGCGGCAGCTTGTTTTGCAATCCGATTTTCGAGGCGATACCAGCTTTTTCCAGACAATGCGACCAAAGCATCGCCCAGCATGGTTTACTGATGCCGTACTGCACAAGCTTCGTGGCAAGGAGAAGGCAGCCCGAGGGGCCTGGAAGAAGCAACTGCAGGAAGACCCGGCAATGCGAGGTGTGCTGCTGTGGCAATTGTCAACGCTGGCCCAGACAGTGCAGGAGATTCTGACCGAGCTCGATTTTGTTCAAGACGGTCCCTTTGCTGCCAACCCCGGCTCGCCTTTGAGATGGCTTGACGTGAATATGTACCATGTTTGTCAGCACTTCATTTTGCCAATGACCAAAGAACAGGAGTGCTCCTACGTAGAGCTGGTAGCCTCCGATCTTCAACCCCCAGAATGGATGGTGTCTCATGCTTGGAGCACTCAGTTTGCTGCGACGGCTAGCATGCTCGCTAAGCACTCAAGCTCCCGCAACCAGGAAGAGGACTCCGCTCACTCCTGGAAGCAGACATCGTACTGGTGCTGCACCCTGGCCAACAATCAACACGATTTGTCTCCTTTGCGGGAGGCAGACTTATTGAAGACTCCGTTTGCGCGGGTTCTATTGAGCAATGCATGTGCTGGGACAGTCCTCCTTTGCGACACAGTCCGGCTCTTATGCACAGGGAACTTTGTTGCTGGATGGAGGCTGGTTTGTCAGGCAGAGGCTGAGGCATTTGGCCATTTCCACACTACAGTAAATCCGCCACCCGACCCCTCCAGCTCTCAGCTCACTCGTCTCAGAGGGGACCGGCGCGCTATACTATACAATTATGAGATATGTAGCAGCGGGACACCCGTTGTTTTGCTCACACACAGAGGGAATGCCACGATGGCGGTTCAACATTAAAGATTCAAGTAGGCTTAAAGACGAGAGGTGAGCAATTGCAATTTATCGCATTTGAATTGGTTCTCGCAGGTACGTCGAGGTATTCTGGCCAGGTCGCAAAGATTATCGATCACGCAGCTTTGGCCGCCGATCAGCTGGGGGCGCTAATGGAATTCCGCGCGTGTCCATGAACCTTTCCTTGTGAACACTTAACCGATGGGCGTGAAAACAAACAAAACGAAAAGGATTTAAAGGAACCGCAACGAGGTGGCCAATTCATACAAGTTGGTCAAAGCAAGTTGGAGTCGAAAGAGATCGGGTGGGCTCAGAGTAGCTCTGGGCCGGTAAGCCGTCGGTTGTGACCGCGAATAGGCCGTGAGACGGGCTGCGCTCTCGAATGCACCAACGCTTGTCCTTGCCGGCTGAGCGGGCGATCTCATATCCGCGGGCGAGCTTTTGCACTCTCCAGCCGTTTGCCTTTGACACGCACACTGGCCGGCCTTCGCGGGCGCGTCTCAACACTTTGTCCACTTTCAAAATTCCGACGCGGACACGCTTTTGATAGTCAGCAATTAAAACAACTGTTGGTGATTGGAGGAAGTGGGGCGAATTCAATGCCGCGTTGCTCATTGCTGAGTTTGCCTGTCAGGCTGTCGTACAGGTCTTGGGGGCCTGCGCGATGCCATCGCCTGATTTCGGAGCCTCTTGCAAAGTTGGCGGAATCTTGAATTTCCCACGCACACACATTTTTCGTTGCAAATGTCTTCATGCAAACGCTGCCGTCGAAAATTCTTCGTTGTAAACGTCTAACCTCGAATCCGGATGAGGGGGCCGCTGAAGGGCCCGCTATAACAAAACATGTTCCCGGAGATTATTTCTGATGTCCTATAGTTGTGTAAGGATCAGCCCGGCGACGGCCGAAAGTGCTTGGGCTGGATGGTGTTCACGGGGCTTGGGAAGCCGGATCTGAGGCGCAGTTGAATAGAACAGGCTGACTCGTGTCCACCCCGCACTGATATAGCAACTACGGTAGCGCGTTGAATTCTGCAGGCGCTTAAAGGGCAAATATGTGGTGGCTGCTCGTTGCTTGAGGCCGTCACGCCTTTGCGACGCGCCCTTTCCTCAGCTGCAAGAAAGGCATGACATGCGGAATGCGCTGTGCAACGGTGTTGTGCTGCGTCGCAACGTGGTGTTTTGTTGCACCCAGGTTTGGTGTGTCTTCGAAGCTCATTTGACGCAGCTGCTGCGGTCTGGACATGCCAAGCTCAGCAACAAGTGCAGTCACTTCATGGACTTGGTCGCTTTTCACGAGGGCCAAAGTGTTTCGGAGTCTGTGGCAATATTGCAAGATGGGCTGGTCGGCTGGCATGAAATCTCCGCCGGGCTTGCTCGCTTTCCATTGGAGGTGGCGCGTGTGGGAACAACTGTGGATGTTCGCATGGCGCAAGCGACACTGCAATGTGACAGGCGCGCCATAATGAACCACATCGCTTTTGGAAAGGCGTCGCAAGACGTTCCAGCAATTGACCACAGCTCGTACGATGAGCTGAACGTTTTCGTTCACAGTGCCTTTGCATCTGCAGAGCTTTACCGCTTGGCCTGTGAACGACCTGCAGGATGTGTTGAGAGGGCGCGGGAGCTCTTGGCTATGGGCGCAGATCCCAACAGCTTTGTGCGCGAAGGCAACACTGCCATATTGGCGCTGGTTGGCGCTGATCCTACACAGCCAACACCTGCAGATTTGCCATTGCTTCAAGAGATGGTTTCTTTGCTTGTTGCAAGCGGGGCAAGGCTGAACCACGTCAACTCGCACATGCAAACGGCTTTGGATCACATCATTGCCACGGACGAGGCATCGCCTGCGGCTGTGTTCCTTAGAAGTCAGGGCGCGGTGTCCTTCGAGGAGTCAGCTTCCGCAGCCGAAGAGCTCTGGAATTCGCGCATCAAGGCAGTACTTCGTCGAGGTGGCTTTGGCGCGCCAACAGACGAAGACCGATCACACAGCAAGCCCACGCAGGCGTTTGGCGGCGCAGGAGGGGGTGGGTCAGGAGCAAAACTGCTAGGCCGTGCTGAGCAAAGTTTGCGTGAGGTTGCCTCGCTGACCAAGATCTACCCGGCATCAGTTTGTTCTATCGAGACACCCTCTGGTCCACATGACAAGCTGGGGCTGCGTGGAAAGGCTGTGCTTGCAGCTTTAAAAGCGGCAGGCGCGCCAAATCCGTTCGAATTACGCAGCCTGACATGCAGCTTAGTCTTTGTTCGCTAGCATGCTACAGCTGTTGGCTTTGTTTGACGGACATTTTAGAATTTGCGCAAGCACGTGTTCTGGCCATCTAAGGCTGCTCTGGGCCATACCATCCTCGTGGTTCTTTGCCATTGTTGCGCGTGCAGATCAGCCTTGTTGACAAGTCGAATCCAAGCGAAGCACAGGCGACGAATCGAGGACTTCAGGACGTGACCTCGATTGCCACCTTGCCGGAGCGCGCGCTGAGTCTTCGGCGAACATCAGCAAAAGGGAAACATATTGATGTATTAGATATTACATTGTCACAGATTGTTTGCTGTGAGTTGGGATTGAGGGAGAAATATGCTGATACAAGGTGGAATTTGCGATTTTGGGATTGGAATGGTAGTATGACATTATGGAATAGTAGTATTTAGTATGACAAAATATTGCATTGAGATTTATCTGTGCAATTTTATGGTGATGGTTTCTCTGTGTTTATATAATTGATATTTGAACAAATATTGAGATTAAATGGAATTAGGGAAGAATTGAATGTATGTTTTTAGTTGGTTTTGTTTGATTGGTAAATTATATATATATTTCAAATTGATATTATGGTTCTTGAATAGGATTTGGAGAATTGATAATTAATGATATTGATATTTTAAGATATTGGGAATGGTGGGATTGATATGTTTGATATGTTTGATATGTTTGATATAAAATAATTTGATTGTATAATTTATATATTATATATGGTGAAAGATGGAGGGATGAATATAGAATTTGTAATTTTATGTGTATTGATATGAATTAGAAATGAAAAGGATATTTGAGAATGAAAAGATATTTGAATATTTAGGATTTATAATATTGGTTAATTTATACAAATATTTATATAAAAAAAATAATAATTTGGAATTGTTTAAAATTGTTTTCTATATATATATATAATTTAAATTGAAAGTATTGAAAATATAAATATGGATATATAGTAATTAAACATTTTTTGGATATATATTATTTAAAAAAAATTAAATAGAACTTAATAATATTTTTTTAGGTATTGTTGGTATTTAAATTAATAAAAAAACATAATTTGAATATTTTATATTTAAATTTAATTGATTTTTAATTAAGATATGTTTTTTGGTTTATTTGATTTTATTAATTATTTTTTTATTTAATTATATTGTTATAGAATAGTTTGAATAATTTTATTTATTTAATTTGCTAAAATTATATATAATTAATGCTATAAAAAGATTGATACTCTAGAATATAATAGGTAATGTAGTCCAAATCTTCATAATAGTCTTGGAGTTTTCGATGCTTTGCATATGCTAAATAATGATTTCTATGTAATTTAAATAAAATTCGGATTTAAATCGGATTCGGATTTTAAATTGGGTCTATATAATTTCAAAATACAGAGTATAGTTTTCATCCACCATATAAATAAGGAATCGTAGGAATCATTTTCCCTCGACATCTAATTCCTTCATACTTTCCCAAACCGGAGGCTCGTAATTAATGTTTTGAGCTATATATTGACTCCGTAAATTATTATAAGTGCGTTTATATTCGGTATATTAGTATGTTGTTGCAACGAGATTGGAAAGCAGATATATCTATTATATCCAAGATTAATCATGGAAAACGATGCCAAAAAAATTGAAGGATTAATTTCTAAACAAATTTCCATTTAAATTTATGTTTTATTTCTTCACATAATAATATTTATCTTTTGTTTTTAATCTTCTTTATTCATTTTGTTTAACGTAAATATATATTAAATATAGAAAGAATCGATAAATTTAACGAATTTAACGCCAAGGAAGGCGATAAACCTTTAAGGAGGGCAGAGCCGAACGAATAAATTTAAGAGCAAAATAAACGCTAAATTTAAGCCGAAATTAAGAGAATAACGAATCGAGGCCAATGGATTTCGGTATATCCAAAAAACAATATATTATTCGGGCAATCAAAGCCATTACGATGCATCGTAAGTTCTATAATGCATAAATATGTCCATTAAGCGACAAATTTATGCCACACCACAATATGCATAATCATTTTGAAAATTTATGCCACACCACAACACGCATAATCATTTTGAAGGGTGGGTCTTTTGATTTCATTAACATTCTTCAACATGATTTCGTGATTCTGCAATCGTAATTAATAAATCTCGGGCGAGCGAGCAGGACCGTGGTGCTCTTTGCCTTTGCTCCGCTACTCAATTAAAGACGGAACGTCGCGTTGAGCGCCGCGCTCACAACTTGGAAAGTGTTTGTTCGTTTACAAGTCTCGGCATAAGGGCAGACACGAGACACCTGTACGGAGGTGGCGCCTATCATCAACAACCTGACTGAGCTGCTGCCCAAGAACCATAAGCTATGGTCAGCGACTACGCCCCATACTCCCAGGTCCCGTGCAAGACACCTCCCGAAAACACAGTGGTGCTGATCCCAGAAAGCGCTTTAATTTAATGGGGGGGGACAGTGCCACGCACGTCCTCCCAGCTCCAACCCACAAGCCTGGACTGCTTACGCCGTGTGGAGTGCGAAGGAACGCATAGATCGCAGTCTAAGAGTCCACTGCCGCCGGACACAAGTAGCTGCATAGCGGGCTGCCTCCGCAGGCAACATTCAACACGGCCACCGAAATCGACCACTCACGCACGGCAATAAGGGACGTGGGAAGTCACGTGCATGTTGCCAAGAGTGGCGCGCCTCCTTTTAGCGCTCGAGCCCAGTATGCAGGCAGTCAGGCCAAACAGTCTCTCGGTCGCCATCATCTATGGCGCGAGGTCTTCGCCACATATGCCGACTTAGTGCGCTATGAAGATGGCCAGGCGATTGGCAGGAAATCGGAGAGGGAGCCTACAGTCGCCACCCCTAGCACCGTGGCTGCGGGCGCGGCCAACGCGGTCGCCCGGCTCCGAGGACATGAACTCGTTGCTGGCGTCCGCTTTGTCAGGCACCTCCTTTCCACTAGAAGCCTCGACGTCAATGGAGCAGCAGCAAGACTCGCGTGCCAAGATTTTAAGGGTCTATTAATATACGTTTATCGGAACCCTCAAAATATTCATGTTTTTCAACATTTGGTGTAATTTTGAGGGTCCCTATTAATGTACATTTATGCGGACCCGCAAAATATATATGTTTTGGCAGGATTTTAAGGATTCCTATTAATGTACATTTATGTGGACCCTCAAAATATACATATTTTGTGATATTTAGTGTGATTTTGAAGGTCCCTATTAATGTACATCAATAAGGACCCTCAAAATATACATGTTTTCTGCCATTAGGTGCATACTTGGTGTGATTTTGAGGGTCCCTTTTAATGTACATTTATGGGGACCATCAAAATATGCATGTTTTCTCATAATTTGCAAAGTACACTTGTTTTCTTACATTTGGCAGGATTTTGAGGATTCCTATTAGTGCACATTTATGGACCCTCAAAATATACATATTTTGTGATATTTGGTGTGATGTTGAGGGTCCCTATTAATGTACATTTATGGGGACCCTCAAAGTATGCATGTTTTCTCACACTTGGTGTGATTTTGAGGGTCCCTATTAATGTACATTTATGGGGACCCTCAAAGTATGCATGTTTTCTCACACTTGGTGTGATTTTGAGGGTCCCTATTAATGTACATTTATGGGGGCCCTCAAAGTAGACATTTTTCCGACATTTGGTGTGATTCTGGGGGTCTTTATTAATGTATATCAATGAGGACCATCAAAACATCATGTTTTCTCACATTTGCTGCAATTTTCGAAGGTCCCTATTAATGTACATTTATGGGGACTTCTCACACTTGGTGTGATTTTGAGGGTCCCTATTAATGTACATTTGGGACCTTCAAAGTATACATGTTTTCTCATGTTTTGTGTGATTTTGAGGGTCGTGATTTTGAGGGCCCCTATTAATGTACATTTATGGGGACCCTCAAAATATGCTTGGTGTATTTTTGAGGGCCCCTATTAATGTACGTCTATGGGGACCCTCAAAATATACATGTTTTCTCATGTTTGGTGTGATTCTGAGCGTCCCTATTAATGTACATTTCTGGGGACCATCAAAATATACATGTTTTCTCATGTTTTGTGTGATTTTAAGGGTCGTGATTTTGAGGGCCCCTATTAATGTACATTTATGGGGACCCTCAAAATATGCTTGGTGTATTTTTGAGGGCCCCTATTAATGTACGTCTATGGGGACCCTCAAAATATGCATGTGATTTTGAGGGTCCCTATTACTGTACATTTATGCATGTTCTTTTTTCACCCGGTGTGATTTTGAGGGTCCCTATTAATGTACATTTATGGGGACCCTCAAAATATACATGTTTTCCGACATTTGGTGTGAATTTTGATGGTCCCTATCAATGTACATCAATGGGGACCCTCAAAATATACATGTTTTCTCACATTTGGTGTGATTTTCAGGGGTCCCTATGAATGTACATTTATGGAGACCCTCTAAATATATTTGTTTCTCGCATTTTGGTGTGATTTTGATGGATTTTATTAATGTATATTTAAAATACACATGTTTGGTGTGATTCTGAGGGTCCCTATTAATGTACATGCGTGAATAAACCCTCAAAATTCACACCAAATGTCGGAAAACATGTGTACTTTGAGGGTCCCATAAATATACATTAATAGGGACCCTCAAAATCACACCAAGTGTGAGAAAACATGCATATTTTGAAGATCCCCATAAATGTACAGAAATAGGGACCCTCAAAATCACACCAAAATGTCCGAAAAAAATGTATATTTCAAGTCCCATAAAAAAAAACATCAAAATCACACCAAAATGTGAAAAAATGTATACTTTGAGGGTCCCCATAGACAGTAATAGGGACCTTCAAAAATCACACCAAAATGTCCGAAAACATGTATATTTTAAGTTTGAGGGTCCCCATAAATACACATTAATAAAAACCATCAAAATCACACAAAAATGTCAGAAAAATGTATACTTTTGCACATTAATAGGGACCCTCAAAATCACACCAAGTGTGAGAAAACATGCATTTTGAGGGTCCCCATAAATGTACATTAATAGGGACCCTCAAAATCACACCAAGTGTGAGAAAACATGCATATTTTGATGGTCACCATAAATGTACATTAATAAGGATCTTCAAAATCACACCAAAATGTCGGAAAACATGTATATTTTGAGGGCCCCCATATATGTACATTAATAGGGACCCTCAGCATCACACCAAACATGAGAAAACATGTGTATTTG